CAGGGGGTTGGAACTAGATTCTTTAAGGTCCCTTCCAACCCAAACTATTCTATAATCCTATGATTCTAAGATGAAAAAGTATTCATAACTATTTCTTAGAACACATACTTCGTGTCATTGTGAAATAAATACTCAATGTCTAATATATTATTTTATAATATTAATATGCACATGAGCTGGGTTTGGCTGGGATAGAGTTAATTTTCGTCATAGCAGACAATATGGGGCTGTGTTTTGGATTTGTGCAGCAGTGTTGATAACACAGGGATGTTTTTGTTGCTGCTGAGCAGTGCTTACACAGAGTCAAGGCCTTTTCTGCTTACCATTCCACCCCACCAGCAAGTATGCTGGGAATGCAAAAGAAGCTGGCAGGGGACACAGCTAGAACAGCTGACCCCAACTGACCAAAGGGATATTGCATATCATATGATGTCATTCTCAGCATATAAGCCTGGGGGAAGAAGAAGGAATGGGGGGACATTCAAAGTGACGGTATCTGTCTTCCCAAGTAACAGTTACGCATGATGGAGCCCTGCTTTCCTGGAGATGGCTGAACACCTGCCTGCCAATGAGAAGTAGTATGAATTCCAATGGGAAGTAGAATGAATTCCTTGTTTTGCTTTGCTTGTGTGTGTGGCTTTTGCTTTACCTATTTAACTGCCTTTATCTCAACCAAACAAGTTTTCTCACTTTTACTCCTCCGATTTTCTCTCCCATGCCACTGGGAGGGCAGCAAGTGAGCAAGCAGCTCTGTGGTGCTTAGTTGCCAGCTGGGGTTAAACCATGACAACATGATAACACTAAACATCTTTGCTTTGCATGAGTCCTGACTTATAGTATGGTCAGGTATAGTCCTGACTTTTAGTATAGTCATAGTATTTGCTTCTTAGAGTTACCATTCAATTATTTTACAATGCAAAGAAAAAAAATAAAATGGTAACTAATACTAGACATATTTACAATTTAATATTTTCTAAATTTTCTCCATGACCACGTGCAAAGTGCCAAGTACTGTATCTTCCCAGCAGCAGTCAAAGGCACTCAGAACCTCCCTGACAACACCTAGGATCTTGCAGAATAAGGCACTTGACACCAAAAAAAGCATTTTGAATGTCAGTGAAACACAGTCGTCTCTCAACTAGAACATGTTAGCTGTTTCACAGAGCGTAGCAAGCTTGTTTAACAGTTTGATATAGCAAAGACAGACATGCAATGCATATACCTCCAAAAGGATTTTAAGTCAGCAGGATACAACAGTTCAGACCACACTGTGGGCAGAATATCACCTTACAATATTCCCCTGACACAGAAGGTAAATCACATCTTTAATTATCCTACAAGGTCAGATTTCAATGTTTTGCTTCCTGTTGAAGAAAGCCTAACTGCATAATCCCATAAAAATCAGCAAAAATGTCACCTTGGTATCAACAACTGCTCCATGTTAGCTGACGAATGAGAGACGCTTTCTAGCTGGGAGAGACCCCATGAGTTGCCTGGTTGGGGTTTACCCAGATGGGGTTAGAAACCTCCAAGGGCAGAGACTGCACACAGTGCCTTTGGCCAACTATCCTTACAAGGAAAAACAGTAAAGCTAGCTAACAAGATGAGGAGGAGAATAAGCTGGATAAATCATACGAATGGATGCAAACAGTCAGCTATCTAATTTTGACACCTATAAAGTCAATTTCACTTCAGTGATGGATGACATCATCTTGACATGCAACATTTCTAAAAGTTTATTTCAGCAAGCATTCTTCAACATGAACGTGACTTTCCAGAATATTTCATGTCTCAGGTATATCCTGCTCCGTGTTTCTCAGGCCCTCCATCCATCGGGCCCATAAACAGTAAGAGTATCTGCTCTTCTGTAGAACCTCTATAAAACGACCTAAGATAATTCCAAGACCAAGGCCTGCTCATGTGCAAGTCCACTTGGACTTGCAGCCTTTCAAACTTCTCTAATCACTGGGTATTACACAATACACCTTCTCTGACTCTACTGAAAAGTCAGTCTGGGTTGTCTCAAAGGTGTAAACTCTATGCAGAATAGGAGACAAACGTAGTAACAGTGCACTGATACGCACCTGCATACATCTTAGATTTTATTTGTAAGAGCAAAAATACCTTGGTTCATTGTTGGTATTAGGATGGTCAGTCAACTTTCCTCCAAGCTAAAGAAAACAAATTCCCTTGAAAAACACGTACCAAGTACATTAGCCGTACACTGGAGAATTCCTGAGACATCTTCAGTTTCTTCATTGCCAGAGCAGTCTGTATAGGAGCATCTGTTTGATATATTGTGAAAGTTCTTCTCTGCATCCCTGTAACTACAGTAAAAAAAAGTTAAAAAGTTACAGCATCTCCTTATACAAACACAAAGTTGACAAATGTCTTCCAGAAGTGATGGTAAAGGATGCCTTTAGCATTCCTTGTCTCCTCCCTCTTCTCCCTCTGTCACCCCCTTTCCATCCATACAGTATCACACACAGATGACACTGCATTAGTAGCCTGGGTATCTCAAGAACTATACTACAATCTGGAATATTACCTGTAGAGATATGGAATATTATCTGTAGAATATGAAGACATAAGAAAAAAATAGTACCAAAGGGCTGAGGCATGAGGGAAGGGATTCATAAATATCTGTCTTATATATCATTCCGATTGGAGTGTTGTCTACAACAGAGTTGTACAGTAAACTCCAAGCAAGACGTATATGAGACAACGACAAATATAAGAATAACAAATCTTCCACATCACATCACATTAGCCCTGCAAGTATAAAACCTAGCTTTCTTTGTGAATTATCTTCCAAAAAGATCTCAGCAGAAAGGATGTCAAGCTGCAACTCACTATGCTATCAAGAATAAAGTTTGTGTTATAGCCTATTAAAGAAAACTTTAAAAGAATCCCACCACTGATGAAAGGCACAGTACTATCATCCAACCTGCAAGAAAGCATCTACTATCTAAATTATTCTATTTAATTTAGTTTTTCTGGATTGTTTTTCCTCAATTCAACAGAAATAGAACAGAAGCTGAAACTACGTTTAAAACAGAGCATTGTGCAGGTGATAATAAGGACAGATGAGGAATACAAGTGAAGAAAATATTGCAGCAGAGTGATAATGCACTTGGCCAAATATAGTCGATTTAGCTCAATGCACAGGGAAAAGCTTTTCTAATGAGTATTTTATTAACAGTTTTATTCTGCTTTCATACTTTGTTTATACTTCATAAATCATGAATTGCAGTTTTAAGGATTAGACTCTTCATCTGGTTAATGTCTGCAAAATCTCAGCACCTAGGTTGCCAGCATCTGTGAAAACGGACTGGAAAGGATTCAGACCTGCGCATCAGGTTACCCCCCAACAGGGAAACATTCTCCGCTGCAGTAAGCACATTGAGGAGAGTGAGTTCATATTAGACAAACAAAACCCAGTGGTAAGGACTGCTGGTGTGCTCTGCAGGTGAGCTGCATGCTCTGTACCCCTTTCCAGGTCTCCAGCAGTGCCTGATGATCGGCCTGGCAGAAGGCCACATCCTGACACGCTGCCTGAGCTGACCCAGAGCCCAAAGTCATGGCCCAACCCCACTGCCACACCATTTGTGTTAGACAGGGTGTCAGTGCCCAGGTGTTGGCAGGGACTGGGGGATGCAGGGGCCTCTGTGAGGAGATGCTGGGGCTGCTCCATGCCAGACACAGCAGGTTCCAGCAGGCTCCAGTGGCCCCACTGCAGGGCACGCGGCACCTCTGGGAAAATTGTTTTAAGAAAGGGCAAAACACCTCATGGAGATGTGCAGAAAATAACTGAAACAACTCTGGAGACACCAAGATCAGTGGAGAAGTGGGGGGAGGAGGTGCTAGTTGCCAGAACAGAGATTCCTTGGCAGCCCGTGGTGCAGACCATGGTAAGGACAGCTGTGCCCTGCAGCCATGGAGGGTCACAGTGGAGCAGGTGGATGTGCCCTGAAGGAAGCTGCAGCCTGTGGAAAGCCTGTATCCAAGCAGGGCAACAGCGTGAGGAGTATGGAACAGCAGAGAGAAGCTGTTATAGATTGACCACAATCCCCATCCCCCTGTGCTGCTCAGGACAGGAGGTAGAGGATTTGGGAGTGTCTTTATCCCAACCCACAAGCTTTTTTCATCTTATTTTCTCCCCCTGTCGTGTTGAGGAGTGGGAGTGAGAGAGCAGAGCAGCTCTGTAGGAGTCGGGCAGCTGGCCAAGGTCAACCCACCACAATGTGTACCAACAGCAAAGGTCAAGGGGCAGGACAAATATAGTACATCAGCTGGAGACAGATGCTACTTCAACCAACTCATACTGATGTTCAAAAAACTGAGTCAGTGTATTGTAAGTCGTAAGAATTACAGGTTTTCAGAGTGTCCCAGATTTAAACTTTGTCCGTTAAAAAAAAGTACATGTAAGCCACATGTGGCCATAAATAAACAGCCACATTGTTATTGTGCACATGCTTTCCTCAAAGCACTGTATTATCCTCTGAAGTTTCCTAATGTGACACTTCAAGCAATTTTTTCAGCAACTGACAAATTTTGCAGCCAGAAGGCTTCTCCTCCTGCCTGCCCTGCGGCAGACGTCACAACTACCTGCCGAGACTGGCTCCTTCGCTGCCCTCAGGTGCCAGCCAGACTGCTAATACTGCAGATATCACACACCAAGCCAGGGCTCCCTGTGAATTTTTACCAAACATCAAGAAACAAGCAAGGACAATTCCCTCCACTCCACCGAGATTTGAAACCATGTCATAAATTCTAAGCCCTCAACAAAGCTTGAAAAATAATCCCTTACATCTGTGTAATTAAATTCAGAGGGCAGCATTCTTCATTTGTCATATGTCACAGCCATTTACTGGCTACAGACATACAGCCATTGTATTCTGACTCTGTTAGGAAAAGTAAGTTATCTGTGACAGTAAAATGCTTGCGCAGGTAGAGAAAGTACTTGTTCAGGTGAGGCAAAGGTTGAGAGGAGATTATTTTAATCAATAGGAGAATGCCTTAGGTTTTCATGACGATAGTTGCTATTACTTTCTTTTTATTCCTCAGTTATCTATTAATTTTCTCAAGGAACTCTTAGGAGGTGGCTTTTCAGGAGCTGTTTCTGAAAAAAACTGATGCAGGATTTTGCAAGATTTGGACCTCAGGTCATAGTATTAATAACTTTTACAGCATTCTCATGTGGCTCTCTTAAAAGCAAACTGGAATAGATTTTATACAAGAAGATTCCCTATTCTTATATAGGAAACATTACTCTTAATGGATCAGTCATGCTCTGATGGGATTGCATGAAAGCAGGACTGGACAGCAGCTTAGCACTGACATCCATAGTACGTACAGTTACTCCAGAGCATCTCTAAGAACTTGAGAGAAAAATTAAAAAGCTTGTCATGCAAGGCTGTGACTTGGAAAGCATAAAACAAAACACCTTTCACTACCTCCCATTAACACTTACCCAATAACTTGATGCTCAAAATACTGCAGTGTCCTTTGAAGAGTTTGCCGAATGGTCTGCGGCTACGGAAGAATAATTAAAAAAATTGTATGATTAGGGAAATAATAATACAGTTTAAATAACAGATCTTTTAACACAGTATTTTTCTCCAGTTTTACTCCTCCTCATCTTCTACCTGCCAGATGCTCATTGCAATGATGGATATGAAATATTACTAATTCCTTGACTGTTACTTCACTGTTTAAATAGGAATGAATTTTACAATGTGACATAATTAATACTGCTTACAAGCCAGTTGTGCATAACAAAGGAGCCACTTCACTATTAGCTCTCAAAAACTATCACCCACCAATTATCACATTAATTTAAATTAAGTAATTTAAAATAGTCTGCAGGAAAATGCTATTATTTTGTCATGAAGGTATCACCAAGAAGAGGCATCGGATTTTTAAACTTTGTATGCTCCCCAGAGCATTTTGTACTGAAGAATATTATAAAGACACAATTTATTTTGGCTTTCTTTCCTGACAAGCTATGACTCTCCAGTCATCTTTCAAATTATCAGGAAACTCAAGTTCATCAAAAGAAAATCATGACATGCTTCAAGCATTTCTATGCTATTTCACTTTAATAGGTGTTCACCAAACTACATATGTGCATAAATATATGTTTATTTGCATTATTATTACTACTACAGTGTCCACCAAAATACCTATGTACATATATATTTTATGTTCCTTTACTATTACTGCTGCTAAAGCTATTCTTTTTATTTTGAATTAATTCGTGGGAAATCTTTGGGTACATAAAGCACATGTGAAATCCATGTCATTCTCTTTTGAATTTTCCAAGTAACTTATGGCAAAACATCATTCTGCTAAAATGACTGGTTTGTATCAAATCTCATGTTTTTCACCTGCCCATTTTTATTTGGTGCCAGAGGTCAGACAAAGGTACACAATTGGGATTTATAAGCCTTCCTTCTTTGTCTGAGGCCAACAGGGATATATTGATCAGACTCACAGCAGCAGATACTCAAACAGGAAGAAATTCTTCACTGTAAGGGTGGTGAAACACTGGAACAGGTTGCCCAGAGACTGAGTAGAGGCACCATCCCTGGAAACATTCAAGGTCAGGTTGGACAGAGCTGTGAGCAAGCTGACCTAGTTGAAGATGTCCCTGCTTGCTGCAGGGGCATTGGACTAGATGGCCTTTAAAGGTCCCTTCCAACCCAAACTATTCTATGATTCTATGAACAAAAATGAATTCAAAATAGATGTAAACTTTGAAATTAGTTCTTTTTGCTCTTAAATCCGTATTGGATAATAACTTCTCTGTGGGAGCTAAGTTTCCTGTGTTAAAGATATTAAAATTACATGTTCTCTTGCAAAAGACAAAAGAAGCACCATATGAATGAAGCCATCACATAACAAAAAACATCCCCTTCTCAGTGGTACAGCAGGTGTTGAAAACCTTAGGCCTGATGGGCTACCAAATATATTTCATAGCATGTTCTCACACAGATTCAGAAGCTTTCATGTGCTCGGCAGGCAGAAAAATCCATTCTTCACATATAGAAAAGATGCATCTTCCCACTCCAGCAATAAGGCAAAGCAAAATGGCTTTAAGCAATGAGGCCCAGACAGCTGCCATCTCCCACCTCCATAGACCATTTCCCTCAGCCCCGCTCCCTACACAAAGAACATCAGTACTCCACCAGTACTCACACTCCACTCTGACATGAAATGGAGAAAGGGTATAAATGTCTGATTGTTAACTTAACTCTTTGGTTCTCCCAAAGTGCTTTTACAGCAAGCGTATGGAAGGCAGCAATGCCTAGTAGCACAGCAAAGAGGAAGCACAGCAAAGAGGAAGCAAAATAGCTTTTTGTCTTCTGGGGAAGTTTTGCAGCTTATGGCACCTAAGCAATCCACTATGGACCATCTTTGCCTGTCTCAGGACTGACACACAGATGTTGCACTCCCTACCGTTCTGAGTACCACAAGACTTGCCCATACAAGCAACCTCCTTGTCCTGAGCTTATTTCATCAACACACCTCCCTTCTCCTGCAAAAGCCCCTGACTGCTAACTATCACTTCTGAAAGTTAAATCACCTGCCTAGTGGTTGTCAGATAACTCCACACAATCCCATGAACTCATATCTCTTCTCTGCGGAATCTCCTATCAAATCTTAGAAATTAAGTAGAGACAGAAAATAAGATTTATGATTAAAAGACCCTTCATATGGTGTTTTAATCATAAGTCTATGTAATGTGCTCATAGCCAGTATGAAAACTGACCTGAGGAGTCACAAATCCTTCCTTCATTTCTGACATTAATTGTTTCAGCATGTCACTGTGTGTGGTTAAAAAGACACTGAGCTCACCTTCTCATTTTGCTGTATTTCATCACTGGTGAATGTCATTTTGCTGTAGATGTAATTCTGTAACTATGGCCATGACTAAACAAAACAGAGAGAAAAGATAGGACACCTACTTATAACTGCCTACACGAGCAGTTGGATGTACTTCTTCCACTACTGCCTAGACACTGCCCATGCGAGGGAGAGTGGGCAGGAAAACATTGCCTCCTCTATTCTGCATCCAATGGAAAGACTGGATGGAGGCAAAAGAGCTAATCTTTCTACTAGTAGCATCACACACATCACTTCTCTAAGCAGCATAGTTCTGCCATTCAGGAGATAAAAGACAGCCTGTAACAAAACACCTCCTCCACCACAATGTAAGTCTGTGCCATGCAGGTACCCAGTGGCACTTATTTACTGGAGAGGTTTTAAAGCTTCGTGACCACTTAAAATGAAAGATTTAATTTAAATGTTAAATAGTGACTATTACCTAGGCCAGTAAACTTAAACAATTCATTTTGGTTATAACGATTTACTAATATTTGGTATGCATTACCAAAGGAATAGTCACATCAGTTCATGTCTCTAAAGGCAAATCAAATTAAGACAAGCCAGTATTGTTAACTGTAAATTAATCCAAGAACTGCCATACCAGCTCATATCCAAGCTCCATAGGGAATGATGAAATGTAAGGTAGAAGGGTCCACTGAAGGTATTTAGACTGATGTCTTGCACGGCAGAGGCCACAGGACTCCCCTGAATTAATTCTGAATCCAGACATCAGGCCATGGCAAACCCTAATGTGTCAGAATAAATTGTAAAATTGTAAAACCACAGCCGCCTCCACCTCAGGAGCTTCCACCCTTGATCCTCAAGGGCTATCTCTATTTTCCCCTCCTTCCTTGCAACATGGGTCTCAGGTTCTTGGCTCCACAAAGCCTGTGGAAAGACCTGTTCATCTTCCCTGATGTGTACAGCCTGCTCACTATTTCCTACCACTCTTCCACCTGGCAACTCGGTGCTGCAACCAAAGCCCACCAGTGCTGCAGAGCAGCGATCCTGAACATGGCACCCATGCCATGACAGCTGCTGTGACTCCGCCAGCTGCCGCTGTTTGCAGGATGCACTCGAAGAGAAATCTCCCCTTCTTGCTAGATCTCACGCGGCTCTCCAGCAGTGCAAAACTGACCTCAAGCTAGATGAGTAACAGCTCCTCCAAGATGCTTTTAAGACTAGCTGGAGAAAATACAAAGATTTGTCTGGACAATCCTGATTTTTTTTTTTTTTAACTTGGACAACATCCTTTGAAAAAGAATTCCAGTTTAAACAGGCATTGTATAAAAATTTTTGTCTTTTTTCAGTTCAATTTTCCCTTCTTTTAACTTCATTGCCTCCAGTTTGGGAGGCAAAGAGGAGAGGACTTCCACTTTAATTGCATCCCTTGTTATAAATGTCTTTCCTAAGGCAATCAATCGTAAGCTTTCCAATCTCTCCTCACAGGATAGAAACTTTAGTCTATTCCCTAGCCATCTTCTGTTTCCTCTGAAATGTCTTCCGTTTGACTGCAACACCTTCGTAAATAAATGGTAAGGCTCATCTTCTCAGCTGTAGGCACCCGTAGGAATTAATCTCATCTTATTGTTGGCATCTAATACATGCCTGAGGACAGTCTTTAGAAATACCCGTTCCTCTCTTTTGTCTAGAAAAATGTTGAGTGATTGCTTTAGACTTAGACATCTTTTAAATGTTTAAGTATGGACAGGCAAACCCCACCTTGAGGTGACAGAAGTGCACACAGTATCTCAGATGACTCACTCTAAATTTAAATAAATGCAGCTTCAAATTCCCTTCCCATTTCTTTTGCATCCTAAAATAATCAGACAGAATTAGCGAAGGGGCAGTATGGAACCTGAAGGGGGTCTACAAGGAAGCTGGGAGGGGACTTTTTACAAGGGCCTGTAGTGACAGGACAAGGGATAACGGGTACAAATTGAAAGCGGGGAGGTTTAGATTAGATATCAGGAAGAAGTTCGTCCCGGAGAGGGTGGTGAGGCATTGGAACAGGTTGCCCAGAGAAGCTGTGGATGCCCCATCCCTGGAAGTGTTCAAGGCCAGGCTGGATGAGGCTTTGAGCAACCTGGTCTAGTGGAAGGTGTCCCTGCCCATGGCAGGGGGGTTAGAACTAGATGATCTTTAAGGTCCCTTCCAACCCAAACCATTCTACGATTCTATGAACACAGGGGTCTGAGCCAAGAGAGGCCACGTATACAGACCATTTCTCCTTAACCCTAACAAGGTTTCAAAGATTTTTCCTGGTAAAGCTAAGTGGCTCCTAGCTGAGCCTTAGAAATGCTTCACCAGTCATGCTCTTAAAAACTTAAGTGCTTAAAATTTTAAACATGAAAGTTGAAGCACTAAAGAGCATAATAGGCTCAGCTAGAAACCACTTTGCTCCTATCAGATCTTCTTCAATAAGTCCATCGGGTCAGGGGGCTCCTCCAGACTCTTGTAGCCCAGAGACCTGCGAAGTTCTTCTTAGAGGAATCCACACTTCCACCTACAGGAGAGGCAAGCTACCACAGGCCTCAGCCAAATCTGCACTTTGATGCTGGAAGTTTTACATGCTTCAAATACTCAGCAGATGTGCAAGACTTTAATTGCCAGCTTGACTGCTCAAGATCATTAGTGAAAAACAT